TAAGCTTAAAGTCATCCAAGTACAAAATTTAGCTAGGAAAATGACCGGAAACGAAAGTCAAGCCCTAAAACTATTCAAATAAACACAATAAGACTCGCTTACAAATCATAAACCAATTCCAGATACCACCAAAATAGAGCTCCATAAGCATACATAAGCATTAGAGGAAACCAGAAAAATCCGGAAATGTAGTTAAGCGTTAACCCGAAAAAACAGTTTTTGACGTCATTTTGCGGTTTTGGTACCAATGGCACTACGATTATCGGATAAAGGTACAAGACCCACCGTTTCGAAGCTAAGAGATAGGGTTACAATATTGCAGAATGTCACTCAGCCCAGTTTTGAATGTAACCAGGTCACAAATGCAAGATACTACACCAGAAACGGAAAAACAGATTCACAGAACGCATTCTGGTTCAAACATCATAAGTCAACCTACCTAAGTCCAAATCCAGTAATTCCAAAGCCATCCAAAAGCTGAGAAATAGGTATACAATACATCAGAAGACCTCAACAACCAATTCCAAAGCATTCCCAACCAAAATAACCCATTACAGAAGCAATTTCCAAATTCGGGTAAAACCAGGGCAGAAAGGGTAATTCCATCTTTTCTCAAGCTACGCTACTCCGATTGACCTGAAATGTTTCAGGCACCTCTAAAATATCATTCCCTACAACTTTCATGCTTTAACCCAAGGCCAATTCGGCCTCTAACTATGAGTTACAAAACCGGGCAGAATGTAATTCAAAGATACCCTACTTTCCAATTTTCTTTCTAAAACAGAAATTGCTTGCAATTAACCACTTTTTCCACCTTCTAACTTCCTTAAATACCATTTCCAATCATCATACATAATCACATAATCATATCCATATGAAAACAGAAAAATCCCCAATAATTACAAAACTTCACCAATTCAACCAAAAATCAAGATATAAACCATAAAATTGCATCTTATACTACCACTAATCATGGATTAAACATCATTAGAGGGAGAAGAGGGGTCCTTTTCAACTTACCTTAGCAACACAAGGGAGGGAGCAACTAATCCTCTTAGCTTTCCAAATAACTCCACTAAACTCCTCACAAACACTCCCTTAAGTGTTTCTATGGAGCAAAAACAAGATTCAATGGTTGATTTGGTAGATTGGAGCAAAACTTGGAGAGTTTTATTTCTTTTTTTAGAGAGAGAGAGAGAGAGAGAAAGAGAGAGAGAGAGCTGGCCACAATAGCTAAGAATGAAGAGGATTTTTGGTAATTTTTGTGATTTATTTGGTCAAATAGAAAAAGGTGAATAGTGGTCTTACTTAAGAATAAATCCTATGGTGACACTTGTCACCCTTTAATGCATCTCTATCTCTTTGTTCCCTCTCACACCAATCCAAATAGCAACCTCTAATTATCTCTTAACACCCGGTCAATTAATTCCAGTATCCAAAACTTAACCTAGTTGGCCGAATTTTTCCGAACTTTTCGCACTAGCGTGTCCCACATCCGATATACGCTCTTAATTTCTCAAAAACTAACCGATACTAGAAAAATCATATAAAAACTATATTTACTCATAAAATTTATTTGCACAATTTTTCAAATAAAGAAAAGGTGGAAAACGTGTAATTAAAAGAAATTAAAACCTAGAAATTAAGAAAATTACGGGTCCTCACAAGTTTTATACTAGATAAACTTTTATATATAAACCAAGAGGTTGTTTAGTAAAACTTTTAGTTTTTTTTAAAACTTGGATTTCTAGGGATTAGCGAGGACGTGGACTTCGATTCCCAGCTTGACTTTTGAGCTTCACTTTTGGTGAGTGTCCGTGCTTGTTCTATGACTAAAGTGTTAAAGTGCTTTCTTGACTTGTTATGTGATAAATGGAAAGTGGTTTTCCTGAACCATCGAAGTGGCAGTGTGTACTTTATCGCGCTAGCCTTTCGAGTGGTGACTTGCTTGAAATGTTTTCTCGAATATCTTGTAATTGTTGACTGGAGCATGGACTCGTCAACTAATCTACCAGGCAGGGGAATGTACCACACCTTAGGGTGGGAGGGCCTCTTATCCTGACTTGGTAAAATGTGTTGTGACGTCGTTGGGTGAATCTCTCGACTAGTTTATAATTGTGACGTCGTTGGGTGAATCCCTCGACTAGTTTATAATGTGACGTCATTGGGTGAATCCCTCGATTAGTTTACAAAAAGGTATACTCAAGTAATACCAAACTCTCTCGTGAGAAGAACGGGCCCGGTGGGAGTAAGTTGGTTGGAGCGTGTTAAGAAAAAATAATGAATCTACATGGACTTTAGATAGTGAGAGTTGACGGAGGGTTAACTGCGGTTAATTTTGATCAAGTGCGTGGAAAATGGCTCTTGAGAGCCCTGTATCCTACTCTGTGCTGTTATACGCTTTTCTACTTGCTAAATTTAAGCTTGAAGTTATTATTTACTGTTTGTGTTATATGATTGCATGTCTTGGGCACCACTGAGCTTTAGCTCACCACACGATATTTGTTTTCCTTAACAGGTTTTGGCATTCAAGAGATTTGAAGTCTGTTTTTAGCTTTTGTAACTGTTGTGTTGAATCGACTATGTATCTTTTGTTTTGGGTTGTCACTTGAAGCTGGAAAAGTGCAAACCCTAAGTTTTGGCTTGTATGAATTTATTTGACCTTTATGAGTTTACTGTGGGGTTTGTAATGTATATTTGTAGTTTTGTGTTGAACTGGTCGGAGATGTATTTAAGAGTGAACGTTCAGATGTCCAATGGCAAAGTTATCTCTGAAGTTAATGTGTTTTAGTATTCCAGTCGTTTAAAGGTTTGGCATGTTCGGATGACAAATTTTGTGTTGGTTTAAGTTATACGTGGAAAGGGTTTATTCGGTTTTCTTGCGTGAGTCCTGGCGAGAGCTAGGCAAGCGACCCGCCAACCTCTGGTTCGCCTTAGGGAGAAGTGGGGCCGCCACAGGTGGTACCAGAGCCTAGGTTAGAAAAGTTGTCTGAAAGACATATTAGACCTGTTAGAAACCTTAATCCTTTCTAGAGTTAAGAAGTGAGATAGTTAGATATATCATAAGTAATACTTGAACAAGATAGCCATTTAAGTATTAACCATTGGGTTTTGGTTATTTTGCAGGTATGGAAAACGGAAATGGGCATGCTAATGGTAACGGAGGGACTAATGGACATATAGAGCCTCTTAGATCCATCTCTTATAGGCCACGAGACAGAGGAGCTCGTGTATGATATACACCAGCTGATAGGTATCCTCGATGCCAGTGTAGGGCTACATATGCCTATCCTAACGAGTTAGTGCTGTCTTTGGACGATGAGCGCCGCCAGCTGTGGGACGCTAATCATACTTTGACTCAGGATGTCGAGGAGTTAAGCATCATGTTGGATACTCAGTTTGACCACATAGCTGATTTAGAGCAGAGGTTGGTAGCTGAGCATGCTAGGTTGGAAGCTGCTAGCGGGGAGATAGAGAGACAGAGGTCTTGGTTGACTCGAGTAGCTGAGGGAATACGTGATAGGAGCGCTGGTATCAGGGCTAACGCCACTATGATGATGGATGAGGTCACGAGTATTTTTCAGGGTAACACTCAGGCAGGTATTGAGGAGGACCCGGAGGAGGATCCGGAGGAGGACGTTGCCCCTGGTAGCCCTGCTGAGGGGTAGGCTAGGTTTGACTTGATTGTAACTAGGTATTCATGGTTAGAAAGGGGGACACTAGATTAGGTCATCAAATTTTGTCTAGCTGGATGGCCTACTTTTGTGGCATCACATCCCTAATTTTTGTCTAAGGGATTATTTGTACATATTTTTGTTAAACTTATGTGCCATACTTTTGGAAAGTGTCCTGATCTGCTAATTGTATGACCCTCACATGTGAATATATGTTAAATGTTCTATTTTCCTTTTCTCAATCTTCATGTCGATTTTGTTTACAAAGAGATAATAAATAATATTCTCGCCTAATTGCCTTATTTTTCAATAATAGGCATAACTAGGCTATGGATAGACAAGTGATTGGTGGAGGACGGGGAAGACCAACTAGACAACACCCCGAAGCGGGTAGTGATAGGGTACCTGAGGTCAATCAAGAGGGCGTGGCCGGAGACCAAGTGGCCACCGCAATTAATAGAATAACTGATGTCCTAGAGCGTTTGATTGAGCACCAGGCCTCTGGACAGGTGCATCACCAAGGAGGCCCAATCGATACTGAGGATCGGGCACTAGAGAGATTCTTGAAGTTCGGACCTCCCAAGTTTTATGGAGGACCAGAACCGGAGGTAGCCGAAGGTTGGTGGGAGAGGATCTCTAACATTTTTGCAGCTCTAGACTATGTGGAAGAGAGACAGGTGACTTTCGCAGCATTTCAGTTTGAGGGAACTGCTCGTTCCTGGTAGAATCTAATTAGGGTCAATTGGGATAGGAACCATATTCCTAGGACCTGGGCGAACTTCACTCGGGAGTTCAACGCCAAGTTTCTACCCCCTCTTATCCAAGAGAAAAGAGAGGATGATTTTATTAAGTGTAGGCAGGGGGCCGTGAATGTCGCTGAATATGAGATCCAATTCACGAAATTGTCCCATTTTGATCCTGAATTGGTAGCTACGGAGCAAAGGCGTGTAAGGAGGTTTATGCAGGGACTAAACGTGGAAATCCAGGAGGGATTAGCTGCTGTTCGGTTAGACACGTTTGCTAATGCTGTTGAGAGAGCTCAGAGGGTTGAAGTTGCCAGAGCCTAAGTGAAGTCCTTCCAGGCCAAGAAAAGATTTGGCCCTAGCAGCAGTCGGGAGCCGACTTATGCAAATGCTCCACCGGCCAAAGTGGGTTGAGGAATGGGTAGAGTAAATGGTCCTGGAGCACCACGAGGCGCTCTAGCAAGAGAAGCTGGGGCAAGAAGTGTCGGGGGAAGAGATATCGGAGCTAGAGGATGACCAAGTGGAAGGAGTCAAACTAGGAACGCCCCGCAAGGAGGTCGTATGACCACCCCTCAGGTAACTTATGGGTATTGTAAGAGGGGGCCATACTGAGGACAGATGCTGGAGGAAAGAAGGAAAGTCCTTGAAGTGCGGAAGCAGTGAGCACCAGATTTCCGGTTGTCCAAAAATACAAGAAGGTGGTACCCCGAGTGTTAGGCAAGCCACTTCTGGAGGAAATAGGTCGAAAGTTCCCGCCAGGGTGTACGCTATAGACGATCAACCTGTACCTGATACCTCGGAGATCGTGGAAGGTACTCTTCCAATCTTTCATAGATTAGCTGGAGTACTAATTGATCCTGGCGCAACTCACTCATTTGTGAATCCAATTTTTATGTCTGGAATTAATGTACAACCTGTTAAATTACCCTTTGATCTTGAAGTTAGGACACCTATGGGTAATAAGAGTATAACCACTAGCCTGGCCTATAAGAACTGCGAATTCTGGGTTGGAAAGCGTAAGATGCTAGTAGACCTAGTCAGTTTGGACATAAAAGGGTATGATGTTATCATATGAATGGATTTCCTAACTCATTACCATGCTAAGCTTGATTGTAGAGCAAAAGTGGTAGAATTTTGGATTCCTGGGAAAGCAACCCTGAAATTGGATGTGAAAGGTAGGTTAGCATCATCTGCTATGATTTCGGGAGCTCGGGCAAGAAAAATGTTGTATAAAGGAGCGCAAGGTTTCTTAGCTTTCCTAATTAACGCTCCCAGTGACCAAGTAAAGTTGGAGGATGTACCAGTGGTAAGGGAATTTCCAGATGTGTTTCCCGAAGAATTAAAAACATTACCTCCGGAGAGAGAAATGAAGTTTAAGATTGAACTAGTGTCGGGAATGGCCCCGATTTCTAAGACTCTGTACCGAATGGCTCCTACAGAGCTAAAAGAATTGAAAATACAATTACAGGATCTATTGGAGAGAGGTTTTGTTAGAGAAAGTGATTCGCCATGGGGCACACCTGTTCTATTTGTTAAGAAAAAAGATGGAAGTTTGAGGTTGTGTATTGATTATCGAGGATTAAATAAGGGTACAATTAATAATAAATATCCTCTACCATTGATTGACAGCTTATTTGATCAGCTGCAAGGATCAGTAGTTTTCTCCAAGCTGGACTTGAGGCAAGGGTATTATCAGTTGAAAATTAAGAAGGAAGACATACCTAAGACTGCTTTCAATACAAGATATGGACATTTTGAGTTTGCAGTCATGCCATTTGGATTAACCAATGCACCAGCTGCTTTCATGGATTTAATGCAAAGAGTCTTTAAAAAGTACTTGGATCAATTCGTAGTAGTTTTTATTGATGATATCCTAGTATATTCTAAGACTCGAGAAGAACATGTTCAACACTTGAAGGTGGTTCTGCAGACCTTAAGAGAGCATAAATTGTATGCTAAATTTAGTAAGTGTGAGTTTTGGCTAGATGAAATTTCTTTTCTGGGGCACAAAGTTTCTAAAGATGGAATTGTCGTAGATCAGGCAAAAGTTGAGGCAGTCACAATGTGGAAACAGCCAGGAACTCCAACAGAGGTTAGAAGTTTCTTGGGTCTAGCAGGTTATTACAGGCGATTTATCAAGGACTTTTCAAAGATTGCTGGACCTATGACAGAGCTGACAAAGAAAAATAATAAGTTTATTTGGACTCCAAAGTGCGAGTCAAGTTTTCAGGAGTTAAAGAGGCGCTTAACATCAGCTCCTGTTTTGGCATTGCCTGATGGAGTAGAAGGTTATGTCGTGTACTCTGATGCCTCTAGGGAAGGTCTAGGGTGCATACTAATGCAAAAGGGTAAGGTAGTTGCCTATGCCTCTAGAAAATTGAAGCCTCATGAACAAAATTACCAACGCATGACCTAGAACTGGCTGTAGTGGTCTTTGCCTTGAAGAAATGGAGACATTACTTGTACGGTGTGACCTTTGAGGCTTATATGGACCACAAGAGTCTTAAGTACTTGTTTTCACAAAAGGAATTGAATTTGAGACAAAGGCGATGGGTAGAATTTTTGGAGGATTATGATTGTTCAATAATTTATCACCCAGGAAAAGCCAACGTGGTAGCAGACGCTTTAAGTAGAAAGGTCCAAGTAGCAGGGTTAATGGTAAAAGAATGGGACATGTTAGAAGAGGTTAGCATTTGGAACCCTCGCTTGGAGAGATTGAAGGTTTTATTTGGGAACCTGTCGTTAAAATCACCATTATTGGAGCGTATTAAGGAGATACAGAAAATGGACCCTATGATCCAGAAAAAGTTGAAGAAAGTGCAAAACGGAGAAAACCTAGACTTTAAATTAGGTTTCGAGATAGAATTGTGGTTCCAGTTGATGAAGAATTAAGGGGAGAGATTCTAGAAGAATCACATCGATCGAGATATACCATACACCCAGGAGTGAACAAACTGTATCACGATGTGAAAGAATTATATTGGTGGGACGATTTGAAAAAGGACATGGCAAAGTTTGTACAAAAATGTCTGATCTGCCAACAAGTAAAAGCTGAACATCAGAAACCCTCTGGTCTATTGCAGCCACTAGAAATTCCTGAATGGAAATGGGACCACATAACCATGGATTTTGTAACGGGGTTGCCTCGAAGTCAAAAGGGATTTGATGCGGTTTGGGTGATAGTTGACAGGCTTACCAAGTCCGTGCATTTCTACCTGTGAGTATGAGCTTTTCTTTGGAAAAATTGGCCAAGTTGTACACAGAAGAGATCATGAGATTGCATGGTATTTCTATAAGCATTGTGTCTGACCGAGATCCAAGGTTTGTTTCACGTTTTTGGCAGAAATTTCAAGAGACATTGGGGACCAAATTGAAGTTTAGTACCGCTTATCATCCCAAACAGATGGACAGTCGGAAAGGACAATTCAGACTTTGGAAGACATGCTGAGGTCGTGTATATTGGATTTTGGAGGTAAATGGAGCCAGTATATGGCCTTAGTAGAATTTGCCTATAATAATAGCTATCACGCATCAATTCAAATGGCACCTTATGAGGCTTTGTATGGGAGAAGGTGTCGTCTCCGATTCATTGGGATGAAGTAGGAGAGAAGAAAATTTTAGATCCAACGGTTATACCTTGGATGGAAGAAGCTCATGAGAAAGTGAAAGTAATTAGGGAAAGGCTTCGAACTGCCCAGAGTCGACAAAAGAGCTACGCCGACACCAGAAGAAAAGATTTGGAGTTCGAAGTAGGAGACAAAGTTTTCCTAAGAGTTAAACCCGTGAAGGGCGGAGTGGTGTCCAAAAAGGGTAAAAAGCTAAAGCCGAGGTATATCAGACCTTTTGAAATTTTGAAACGAATCGGGAAAGTAGCGTATCAGTTGAGGTTGCCTGCAAGCATGGCCAAGGTTCACAATATATTTCATGTCTCTATGCTTAGGAAATATCACCCCGACCCAAGCCATGTGTTGCAATTGGAAGAAATTGAGGTGGATGAGTCGTTAACTTATGAAGAAGGGCCAGTCAAGATTTTAGAAAAAGAAGTAAAAGAACTGAGAAATAAGAAAATTCCTTTGGTGAAGATTCTATGGAGAAATCATGGCTTAGAGGAGACAACTTGGGAACTAGAAGAGGAAATGCAGAGAAAGTACCCCGACCTATTTCTATAGAAGGTGAGAATTTTGAGGACAAAATTCATTTTAAGGAGGGGAGGATGTGAGAACCTCAAAAAAATGACTACATACATATATACATGTAGGCCTATTGCATTGGCATTCTTGAGTATTAAATAAATTCTATCTTTATTTCTACTTGTTCTTAACTAAGTACGTGAAAACAATTCTCAGGTTACAAATAATATAATTGTGCTAAAATATTAAATTACTTGGTTTTGTTAAGTTAAATTAACATCTCTTGAGGTAGATTATTTTATAGTCTTAATATAAATTCTTTGAATTCCGATAGCTAATCTTAAGCGTTAATAATGATTAAGTGTTAATGGGAACCTTAGCATCAAGACGAAGTCGATATATTTTAGACAAAACCATTACAAATACACTTAGTATACTTAGGACGTAAAAGTCTCAAAAATTGAATTTTTGCGAGGTTAGTATACTAGTAGGCATTCAAATTACATTCGGGGTAAATTTTGGAATTAGATTAGGATTGAGGACTTAAGTGGAAATTCGGATGAAATGTGAAAAGACCAAATTGGCCCTCCACCATCTCGGATTTACCATGCAACCACCAAAGCTTCATTGGCCAACTTTAAAACACAAACATTTTCATCTCTGCCGGATTGCATTTCATTCTCCACTCACACATTCCATCTCCTTCATCCGCGATTTATCTCTCCATTTCAGCAACTCCAACACCCACAACACCATTCCATTTCACTCCATTCCATCCCTGCCTTGGTATCATTGACGAGAGGAAACCAGAGAGAGAGCTGTGCGAGTTGCGAACCTTGAACTGTCCGAGAGAGGGTGAGAGCAAGAGATAACCGTGCGAGCTTCATTACTTCCTCCATCACCACCGAGAGCTGCCATTTCATTCTTCGTCCTCAACCAGCCGTGATCAATTCAACCACAACCACCACAGCTGCAACCACTGAACTCAGACCAACCATCCTCGCGTGCGCGAGCAAAGCCGAGAGGAGAGGAAAAAAAAATTTCAGCTTTCTGGTCGCGTGAGTGAGCTCCATTTGAGGTAATTTCTGAACTGAAGTTAGCTGATTCTAGGCAAATGAGGTCAGCTATAGACTTGCATGTGATGCTTGTGCGTCCGGATGTTGAATTGCAACATAGGAAAATCTGATGTGAAGAAAAACGGGTTGGCCGAGAGATTTAATTGGATAATCCAGCTGAAATTTGTTCGATTGTGATAATCTGAGCTTTGATAGGTGATTAGCTAACTACAAACTAGATTATCAAGCTTTGCATGAGGTTAATTAGCCTTGATTAATCAAGAAAATTGAAGGGATACGAAATCTGTTTACATGCAAGTCAACCGAGAGAAATTGGATGAATTTCTGGTTGGATGATAAATTTTTGATGTTGTCCGCAAATGGTTTGGATCAAATCTGATGGATAGCTGTTTATTTGGTCATGCATGTAGCTGAATTACGGGCTGCATGTTGGTTTTAGCCTTGAATAATAATATTTGGCTGAAGGAAATTTTGATAAGGAAAAAAATATGGGAGCTGGATCAAAGATGAGGAACCGAGAGCTTGCATGTTTGTCTTGCAGCTTGTGATTCCAGTAAAACGGAAATTTATGTTGGGTAATGCATGTAATTTGTTAGCTTTATGTGTTAAGTGAAGTCTAGTTGAAGAAACTAAGGGAAAAGTTGAAATTTTGGGTGAGACCGTGGGAGGAGTTTTGCTGGAAATTTTTTCCAGGTTGTCCAAATGAAGGAAATGGTGAAGTTTCCAACTATTTTTATGAATTTTGGCCTTGAATTTCTATGTTAAACTGTAATATATACTGTATATTAACTTGGTTTGGACATGCATAAAAGATTTGAATATGAGTCGTGGATAAAAAAAAAAGAGAAAAGCAAGAAAGAAAATCTGAA